TCTTGTCCGTATGCATAGATTTACTGACAAAACCGAGTAAGCACCAGCTGAATTAGTCGACATTATTTGAGCTTCCACTCTGTCTCTCTCTCTCTCTCTCACACACACACACACACACACTCTTCTTCACTGTATGACGGTTGTGCAGTACATTGGTGTGTTTTGTTGTCACCAAAATGCGCAACAAAAACAACTTACCACTAATCATGTCAGTTTGGTCGCTTGGGTTTGTTTACATTCTAGAGCTATTCGAAATCGGCCTACTGATCGCCGTTAGGATCTCAATCATTTCGGCTCCCGCCATTCATATACTGTGGAATGTTAGTTAACATGATGACCGTCCCTGGATAGCAAGAGGACATTTCAAATATATAATGTCACATTTCTTCTCCGTAACATCTTGCAGTTCAATTTGCAGTCTTCGACGTTGTCCATCGTAATTATTAACCCTATCGCTCCTCATGTTTGAGACATGTGGCGTGTGCCCAGCACGCAGTTTATTACCCGATGATGAAAGTTTTTTGTCGGGGATCGCCTCTTTTTCTGTCACCTTTGTTTGCGTGCAGACAAACTACTTTCCATCCGCAACCAAGAATAATACTTTCATTTGGTGAACCTCATGTTTGGTCCATCCCCACACCATACATTCGATTTTTTCCTAACAAATCGCCCTTCCTATTCTCACTTTGGTTCATTCGATCACCATCGCGTGATCATCTTGTCTTTCCGAAGAAAGTTGCAAATTCTCGATGCTTCTATTGACCCCAATAATCGTTTTTTCTTCGTGTAGGACAACTTATAAAGTACGTTGCAATCCGCGAATATAATCCTTCTCATCTCAGAGATGAAGTGAAGCATCGGTGTTGAACACTGATGCCATGGTGCCGATGATGTCGATGACGTTGATGATCTCAGAGAGAAGTACTTTTGACGAAATCCGTCTTTGCGAACCGACCATTTTATTCGTACCTTATGGCTGCCTTTTAGTTATATTCACTTCATAATCCTTTTCACTTCTACCTGTTTAGGTTGAACTGCACCTTCACATCGACTACAGATAAGCAGCCTTACTGTATAGCTGACCCCTCCGATCTGAGGGAATTTAACGTCTTATGCCACGTTATGGCCTATGATTTCGCGGTTTGGAATCCGTCAGTGGGCTACAGCACGCTCGAAACGATGTTTCTACTTTATACTGAACCACAATCATTAGAACAGCAAATAAAGACGATCGAATCAATGTGTTGAAACATGTAATATACATGCCTAACTACTTTCTAGCAAAGAAGCTTCTGTTTCCCACCCCGAACTCCTGTTCATGGCAGATCTTGAAGTGTCAACGCAAATTAGGGCTGTAGACCCTTTGCGTCCTTCTGATTGTTGTCCAGGTGATTGTTTTACGAAACATGCCACTTTTCCACTTTCTTTGGCAAGCGTGGGGTCGCTTCGTAACCTGATTGCAGGTTTCGGACCCGATTCCGGCCTTTGGACGGTTCCTGTCTAAATTTGGATGAGCTGGAGGTTGCTCAGATCTCGTACTTTCTTCGAGTGGTGGGGGAGTGGCACTTACGCATCGAAATGATATCCGAAATGAGGGATTATTTTTTATTATTCTGAATCTCTTGAAGCTCAGTAACCACCCAATTGCTCACCAAGGCAAACGTCAACCGTGAATTTCACACTTGGCATTCTGTTTCTGAGGTATACAGTTCCGCAAAGTAACTTCATTTGATCGTTTGTGAAGAAAAAACGCCCGGTTGAAATTTAAGCCAATGGCTTTGTAATTCTGACTTCTTCAGCGCAGATCAATGCCCATTCAGATAGAATATTCTGAGTATTCGCCAATAATCACATGATTGTTTGAGTGAGTCAACAGCTAGTTACAATGCCAAATTTCACTGGTAATCAAATTCTCCAAGATACTCAACCCGGGGAACAGACTGCTCACATCAATAACGGGACCCCTCTAGGCCTTCCTGATTACTCCCATATGATCATACGGCTGAACCTTTCGGAATAGAACGCTTGGCATATTCATGTTTGTCGACCCTTGTCAACCCTTGCCCGTCCCTGTTTTTTGAGCTGATGAGGAGGAATGTGGATCGCTGCAAACTTACTCTGCTATCAAAACGCAAGATGTTCCCTAAACAAATACGAATGATGTGCAGTAGTTTCACCTTGACACAATCTGTGAGCTTATCCTATATCTTAAGTTTGGTTCGGTTGTAAGCCCACGAATAACGGCGGAAGTGTCTCTGAGCGCCAGATTAAGTAGCTTTTCTCATTACTGTGGGATTTTGTGGGCATTTGTAAAACCCGTAAATTTTTTCGATTGATGTGTCATGGGACGCAACTGGTGCTGAGTTAGGAACATGACTTGAGTCGGATGTGATTAGTAAGTTTTTATTGTAAGCATACGTCCATTTGCAAATAATTTTGGAAGAGACTCACCTGGAATCCAGCTGAATCTCTCGTTTATGATGTTTTTAAGCAACTGAATGTGCTACACCAAACCGCCTCATGTTTTAGTTGATACGGCATTCGAGATATCGCGATACATGTTTGGACGTAATACTCGAAAGCTCTTCTTGGAGCTCATCAGGTTGTCAACTAAGTTTATTTTACCGATTTCGTGCAATTTGGTTTCAAGTAGAACATAAGATTGACGGAAACTCGAGGACCACACCTACCTGATAAGCTCTAAGAGGGGAGAAACCGGTCGTGGGCCGCCGAAAAGTTTTCAGCAACCTTATGAGTAGTGTGTTACGTCTAAAACATACGTCCTTGCAAACCGCGGTAAGTGAATTCGTTGAGCGGGATAATTGGTGGTAAATCGCGTTATTCTAGGATAATATTTCTAGCGTTTGGTTAGGTTTTCTTATCACGCAAAACCGCAGTCGCATGTAAGAAAATCGGCCCGGAGACGATTTTTTTCAATTTGTCTGCGCATTACTCTTTCTGGAGGATAAGCCGATTCCATGAGTGTCACGTGGCTGCCCATACTGAGCGAGCCGTAGCAAAAACTGTACAAACGACTATAAGGCTCTTCCAGGAGAATGATATCGTCTCAACCACATCCGTTCAATATTCTCCTGTGCATGTCGAAAGAGCGCACACTGCTATTTTTCGTTTTCAAAATAGGTTTTTTCAGTCGTTTGCATTCCTTCTTGTCAGTGAATGATGCGTCTGTTGATTTTTCCACAGTTGTGCAAACTGTAGGAAACCCAAAGTTCGAAAATATAAGGCGTATGAAATGACAAAGAATAGTAGACAAATTGATAGTCCTTTGAAATAACATCAGGTGAATGTAGTGTTGATGAATTGCTGAATCGTTACTTTAGACGTGGCGACAACTGAGCTGATTACGAGTTGGAAGGCCTGTTCAACCGCTGCATTTGCTGCTTCCCTTCAACTTTGTGAACCTGAATGGTTAGAGTGGCCAGTCAAATCTATTATCCTTATTAGTAATCCGTTTCAAAGAGGAACCGCCCTAGTCTACTGATTAACCTTTTTACCTCAAGGTATTTCTCTTCTGGTTCTCATGCGTCTTTCTGTCTATTTTGGTGATACTTTGTAGGGTCTGAAGACAACATCGGTGCTGGTGAGTATCAAACATTTACACTAGTTTCGGTGGTGCACAGTAGTGTATAACTTGCAATAGTCTGTTCACACTCACCAAATCGCTGATATATGTACGTAGTTCAGCATAGCTTTCTGCTCACCGTGTGGAACCAGAATCTCTCACCTAACACCCAATTTGCAATTAACCTGGTGATGGAGCTCAATGTCGAATTACTGTTTGGGCGTGAAACGTTTCTGGCGTAGCTGCTATCGAATGGCTTCAAACTTCTTTTGGTGAGTTACTTTTCTTCTTCGATGAATGTGTTGTCTTTGTGTTAGTTACTCACTGTCCTATTCAGTCGTCTAAAGTAATTTGGTTTATGCTCTTTTTCACTCACCACCTTCACATAGCCATCTGTAGGATAACAGAACGCACAGTGCTTTCTTCAAAATATTTTCCTTAATTTGACTCCACATGGCTTCCTTTCTGTGGATATCAACTTGTATTTTCGATGTGGAAGTTTCCTTTTACTTCCTCGTAGCGTGCGCTTCATTTGCCCAAGTACTGAAACTCCCGTTTCGCCTAGGTATTTTATGCAAACCTAGTGCGTAGGCAAAGTTGTTCGAAGGGCGGCTGGGACAGTGTTACGACGCAACAAATTAGTGAATCGCGGATGGGTCGCTGTCATTTAGGCCTGTTGCTTCCAGTCTATTTCATTCATATTTCAGGTTCTACTGGTCTGAAATGAGGTATTTTAAATGGTAGACATAGTGAGTAGATGTGACGCCGCTTACTGTCGTGATTCCGATCCACAGAGAAAGCAAGCCCTAATTAAAATACGTGGAGTTTATCCACTTGTAAAGAGGTACTATAAAATGGGAGACCTGTTTTGTTTGTCATGGTTAACTCCAGGGCACGATGCATACAATTTCCGGCCCCACATTTACCTCGTTCCTTTGCTGGGCTTTGTAACGGACATAAAAATACCCTGCTCGTCCCAACCAAAAGCGAATTCCGAATAACTGTGTAATCTTACGAGGGCACGTAATGGTGGGATTCTTGACCTTGTCATCAAATACCACGTGTTAAAAAACAGATGAGGCTTGGATGAAGTTCACCAAAATATGATGGAAAATGTACAGTTAAGACCACCAAGATCCCTCATATGACCTAAACCCGACGATAGTGATAACTCCCAATTTCATTTTCGATTCGGTAGGATCTCACTAGCCGGTCTGGCGTGTGCCTCCACTCCACGTGAACGATAAAAACATCGATGCGGGACGGTTTACACCTTTCCTAATCGGATGGACAAATTTTGAGCGACCGATAATCTCTTCGCATGAAATACGTTCTCACTGAAAGTGCAACCACAGACAGCAAATCAGTGATCATAAGAATGTATGGCAGGGTGAATTATGGACAGAATAGCTTAATCATAGATGATGGCCCTGATGCCTTACACAGTGATCCTACCAACCAACAATAAACTGATGATGGCATACAACCCATCGGTTGGATGAACATACTGAAATTGAAAAGATCACGTTCTGTTTCGCAACATTCAGTCTTGCCAGGTTATGCAGTCCCAACTTGTTTCCGGTTACGATTGAACGTGTGATGTTGCGTGGTGGTCTGTTATCCGGCCGACTGAACTGGTGACTCGAATATGAACAGAAAAGTGTTGCGAACCTAAGTGAATGTCTCTGGCTCGCGTGCTCGTTTAGGCTCCAGGCAACTTGTGATACCCTTGGACTACTGCATTCAAAACAAAAACAGGTGTGTTTGCGCACACACAAAGTGCAACATTCTACCTCTTTACACGTATGTGATTTCATTGGCAAGTTTCAAACAGGGTGAAACGCGTGGGTCCTAACTACGCATCTACCGTCACTGACAGGTGAGAGTAAAGTTGATGAACAAAAAACAGCACAGAAATACCATTGATGAGTGTCAACTGTTTTAGCCATCGTGTGAATCGCGCCAATCAGCCGATTCCCTCCCCCACTGCATAATCGCTGACTTATTTAGGTGGCGACTAATTTTAATCCGATT